TTTCAATGAGCACAATTTTCTAAAAAAACCTTTATGGTACTGAAAATAATGTAGTAGAAAGATAGAAATTCCCTGTTGCAATGTGAAACACATCGATTAAATTAATTCTACTTTTAGTCTCCGTCAGCGGTCTCATTACCCCGGTTCCAAAAAAACCAACATAAACAATGCATATTTTTCATTTCAAAGCTGCACATGCTCATTTCTGTTGCCTCAAATAGATGAAAAGAGACTTCCATAAAAAGCACGCCTAAAAATCTGGAAAAAAATAGGGAATGAGGGGTGAAACTCATCATGCAAAGCTAGCGACATCGAAGTAGAGACAAATGGGCATGTAAATGGAATGAAGAATTCGGCAATGCAAATAAAGTGTCATCAAAAGAATCGAATATCCTCTGCAGTTGGGTCGTAGAGTGGTCGGTACTTGTTAAACATCTGAACTAACTGTTCTCTGTACTGCTCCCGAAGCTTGTCTATTTGTTCGTCGGTTGGGTTGGGTGTTCGTTCGCATACCATTGGACGACCAACTAAAAATTTCCAAATAAAAAGGTAGTAGAGAGGATAAAAGGTCAACTCAAGTACCAGACTAATTTATTCGGCCAATTATCCAACGGGAAGTTTTTCAGGACTGATTTAATCAAAACCTTACAACTTAGAAGCGATTACAGCTTATAGAGCTTAAATAGAAGTTTCAATTACCCGAACCTGCTATATTGAGTTCAGTAAAGTTGAACTAAATGTTATTTAAACTTTATTGAACGCAGTCGACTTGTCTCGTTCTTCAACATTCATAATATTTACCGACATCTTCCCTTTAATAGTCTTGTCGCTATGGGCTAATGAAATAGTGGCCTCTAGAGCGTAGTTTCTCGCAACAAGATTTGAACAAGTTTATTAAGGCGTAATGGAAAAAAAATACTTTTGTCTTTAAAGAAGACCCACTTATTCAGGTCCAAAATCTGTAAATATTGCATCTTTACCCAAATATAGTAAGTAATAAACACTTATCATCTTATTTAAAAGTGGTAATGGAAGCCTTAAATGTGGGACAACACAACTTCTGATGTCGGCCGATTTTGATTTGCTCTTCCCGAACTGGCCTCGGCATCTTTAAGCAAAGCGAGACATCATATTTTTCTAACATAAATTTATTAAACAGGGTATAAATCCATGTATTTTAACTAAATAACAGGGATTTGTTGGACGTAAAGTCAGTTCATACCAATAAGTTGTCTAGAAAGTAAAGTAAATGCACCTTTCAGAAGATTTTTAGTCCATTAAGCCAGAATTTAAAGATTAATTTTCATCACTGAGCTCGGTTTAATGCTGACCATAAAACGATATATAGAAATGCGGCTTAAGGACCTACAAAGGTCGAATATTTGCGCTGGAGTCGAGGGAGGAAACTGAAAGAATTATTTCTCACTTATTGAATTATTGATTATTGAGTTTCCGCCTTCAAAACTGGGCATATATTTGACTACCTGTTAAGAAGCCGTCGCTTCAGTTAGTGGGTAACGAGTAGCCAATCATTTGCCACTTAACCTAGCCTATATAAGAACATTTTTCCTGTTAATGAAATGACGTCAATTTCCCATTTCATTTCAATTTCTTCCATACAACAGTATTATTAATTATCAGTTCCTTCTGATCATCCAACAAATTATTAAAAAGTAAATATTAGCATTAGTCAGAGATATACAGAAATCGGTTAATAGATGGTTCAACAAAGCCAAAGTACCAAACGATCTTAATTAAATTGATTATTGGGTAGGAGTTGTAGGGTATTTTGTACACTATACCTCAAATTCCAAAGTTCAAATGTCATGAGATGGTAGAGCATTTTATGGGTTATAAATCCTTTTAAACATTTCCCTAACTTCCATAATCTCATGAACAATAAAAATCGAAAATTAAATTTGAATAATTTTAGCACACACCGACAACAGTTAGAGGTCGACGATAGGGAATTAGACGATTTGAGTAGAAGATTGGTGGCGCCAAGGTGAATTTTTTTGTGAACCAATTCTGCACTCTCCGCAGTGTCGATCCTTCAGGGTTAGCCACCTGATCGTACATATTTGTCTCGCCAAATCCTATTGACGGAACCAGATGGGCGCTAGATCAGCCGGATAAAAGAAGCAGTTTTGTTTAACGTGCCAACTAAGAGAGGAGTAATAAGGAAGAAGAAGAAGTTCGGAAACATACCCAGTTTTCAAGGCCATTCTGAAGAAACCACTCCTTCTGCTGAGCATGAGAACATAATGTCCCGGTCGAGATTCAAGTGCTTCAGTTGCGCCACCTACTGATATTGCCACTAAGCTACCTGATTTGCCTGTTATCTCCTTGTCAAGTAAATAGGTCAAACTCTCACGGCTGACTGAAACACCACCTGTTAGGAAAATTGAAAATGGAAGTCAATAACAGTAATAACAGTGCTGCTTGCAAAATAAAGAACAACAAACAACAAAGTGTGTCCGTGTCACGACTATTTACTTGTCGATTTATAACATGTGAATGACCTGGGGAAGAGGGGGGGGGGTAGCGAGAGGTTATTCTGAATGGTATTGATTTTCCCGATCATTTCAATCAGACTTAAACCAATATGACAAGATGATGAACGTGAGCACTTGAACAAATGATACTATTTCTCCGAACTTTATAAAATAAAAGTCACACAAGAATAGTAATTGTGATCTAAACTGATGGATATTTTAGGAGATTCCATTCAGTGCCAATTTGAGTACGCAACAGTGATATGAATATCTTAGAGGTCATCTGCCTTCTCACACAACAGTATCTTATTAATAATCAATATGCACAGCTTAAAAGCTCACAAATGTGTTGACCGATTCTAGTTAACTGAAAACTCAGTTTAAGGAAGCAAGTACATGTTCTACGCGTCTTGATGGTAAACAAGCTTAACAAATAACAAGATGAGAGATGATTAAAGCTATAATAATCTAATTCAAATGTTGTCATCACGATAGACAAGGTATTATTTGTAGAAATAGAAGCGAAGGGTCCAAGTTTGACGTAGGTGAAGTAGGTTAACAGAAGTAAAATCTACGGAAACCAAAAAAATCCTATCATTCCGAGCTCCAGAATTAAGTTTACTTGACTGTTTGCATGAGTCTTCTTTTCTGGTCTAACCAGGATCTTTTGCTAAACAAACCAAGATTGCAAACTTTGCGTAACATATCGCTGAATGTGGAATAGAGATTGTTTATGAAAACCGCACAAGGTTGATCTGAATTCAAATTTATTGAAATTGGCTTCGAGTTGCAGAAAATTGGCATTTTTTCATTTCGAATTAAAGTGAAAATGAAGTTATAAAAGATAAGTGAGTTTTAAATTTGAATTAGCTATCAAGTGCTTCCAGTGATGAGGTCTATTAACTTACAATATCTTGGTAAGGACAAAGAAATCAATTGAAATTAATGAAACATTGGATTAAAAAGGTAACGACTACATATTGGAATAACAACGGAAGAATTAGAGAAAAATGACATAACCAAAGAATAGGATGTTGTAAATATCTTGCCACATTACCCCCGTTGATCATCCAACTTTGCACTAAGCTAAGGACCCCATTTAATGCACATGAGCGCTTTTGATGACCCAGTAAACAGACATGAAATCATGCTTAAACCGTTTTTTCTTATCTAACATGTTATAAATAAAAACACAATTGGCATAGTAGGTGATAAGAAGTCCGAGAAGCTTAGCACTTGGCATACTAGAGCGCAATAATGAATATGACGTCTAATTTCAGAAATGGAATAAAATTCTCCATTGACCTTTAACAACTAAACTAGCTTCACCGATTGTAATTGAGTTATGACACATTTAGTTCCCCAATTGAATTAAAATTCATATATCTACAAATGTGGGATACTGTGCATGAATAAAGATTTCTCAAAAAATGGGACTTGAAGTTCTCGCTACAAGCAGACAACTCCAGTCCAAACTCAGAATGTCATGGGGCCCGTCGAGGAAAAAACATTATATACGATACAATTAACCGATTTCGAAATCAATATGAGAGAGAAAGTAAAACAGGAGAACAAAGGACAGTTCAAGACCACGAGAAGCGATCGACTGAAACGAGTGCCGCTTCATTGGTTTGATTGGATGATATGGGCCTATTAGGTAAAAGATCGTGATATAGAGTGGAGTGCAAATTGATAATCGATAACCCACTATTGTTCTTTGGGCACACTGGGAAAGGGGTGAAGAGTAATAATTGAATTCGACTTATGGAAGCAAGCAATAATAATACGAAGTAAGCACTTTAGCCTATTAGGGATTCCTTGGGAGAAAGCTTTCTTAACTAAATGTCAATTCAGTATTCTCAATTTTGGAATGGCTTTTATTGCAGGAGGTGCTTATATATTTCGTCTATTATTTAACCATTTACTATTTGTTTCAAATATTTTGGATTTTAATATCACTAAATGTAATTGTTAATTACATGAAATCGTCAAAACATTATCTGTTGCTTGCCAATCAAGTAAGATGTTGCTTTTTCTTATTCCGTTCAAACACATGTCCAGACGGCGCCAGAATCCAATGTATCATTCAACAAATTCCTACTTCACATTTATTTTCTCTGTCACCTCAAATTAAAACAATAGTATAGATGAGTCTTTTGCCTTTCTTTACTTATTCTCAACAACTCTTATTGTCCAAATCTTGAAGTAAGTAATTTTTAAGAAGTAAAACAATAGAGAGAAAATTAGCGGTTCAGGTTTCTCCTCTGCAATATTTGTATTCTCTTAGGAAGAATAAAGACAAGCAACAAATTCTTCCACCCAATCTCTTCCCCTGTCGTGGGTTCCATCTTGACTAAATCGATTTTACAATCGTTTTTTCTAGCAAATCACTAGCAGAAATTTGACAAAATCTATTAGTGTAAATGGAAGATAAAATCGTTGAACTAAAGAAAAAAAAGTCATTTCATGTGTTTTCGAATCTCTTATTTACCACTAAATGGTAGCTTCCAATATGTTCGCTCACGCAGGCTCTTGAAGACAATGACACAATAAAATGGATTTCGTGATGCAAAGAACATGACCAGAATGTGATTAGAAATTTGACTTTAAAGCCTGCAGGTTAAAATTATGGCTTTTATCTCATAAGTGAAACGTGAACGACTGTATGCAAAGGTCTTTACTACCTGTGAGAGAGCAAATTTTGAAATATGTTCAAGCTGCTGTACAAGAAGCATTCGCAGATCAACTTCCATTGAAACGACGGTCAATCTAAAGGCACCCTAAAAGTCACTAAAAATGTGTTGACAGCTTTCATTCCGAAAGAATTCAAGCTTGGGGAATCCAAAGTAAGGAAATCGGAAGAAAATGATCAAAATTCGTACCCTCCCCTTAAGCCTCATTAATGCTAATTTCTTGAAAATATTTTCACAGTCTTATTTAAACACGTGAGAATGCAAATTGATGCAGAACAATGACACTTATTTGCGCTTACCAATTACAGTGCAATCATCGTGATTTCGTTTCAATGGTAAAGCCATGTTGTTGACGTTAAAGGACCCACTGAAAACTGGAAACAAAGCGTGATATACCGTCTAGCAGAATTTTTGAAATAGTGCAATATTTTAAGCGTAAACATTGCCAGGATTCACAAAATACGGACCAATGCCTACAGTAATAAGGTGTTTTGGTAATTTTGAAGAGCAGTTTCAATCTCAAACCCTTCCAATTTTTATCATATAGTATTGTCCCAGGTTGTTCATAATCGATCAAAGAGGAGTAGGTTATAGAAGTCAGTGGGTAATTTAAGTTGTATAGAAGATGATGGTCTTGGCAGGTAGTTGCTGTTTGAAAGAAAATTCTCTTAAAAAAGAGTACTCAAAGAAGACTAGATAACTATAGAGGATTCGAGGTTTCGTAATGATACATAATTGATGGTTAAAAGGATTTGAGTGGATAGATCAATTAAGCCTAATAAATTAATTGGTGAATTTCTTAAGGTAATCACTTACCACAGGTCATGGCGTAATCTCTATAGAAGGGAACATTATAATGTAAATTCAAAGTGGCCATATAAGGTGTAATCCCGGGGAAGATTTTGGAGAACCTCAGTGATTCGCTTCCATAGGCCAAAAGGGCTCCAATCGCAAATGGTCCATGTGGATGGTAGCCAAGAAGGTAGTTAAATTCAGTCGGTAGTTGAAAACAATCGGAGTTTTCGCAATTCGTTCGCCCTTGCTCATTGCTCCATTCTCGAAGTTCATCCGAGACCACTAGACGGGCCGGAAAGTACTGCGCTACCCACTTCCACAGATTAATATTTCTAAACCAATTATTTCGCCTTCCGCCACGATAAGGCGTATCAACATCCAGAACCCAGTAGATTGTATAGACAAAAATTATTAGAAAACAGTAGCAGCTATAAGTATCGGTAATTGGGTGACCAAATGTCATGAGACATAAAGGAACAAGGAAAAGATGTATGTAGTGGGCCATGCATAGCATAGGAAGGAAACTAACAGAGCATCCAAAGAGTAGAACGGAAAATCTAGCTCGAAATCTGTAGAATACTGAGTGATCATACCACCCAAGTGTTTCAACCATGTTGAAGGGTATCACTCAATGTGTCGGTCAGTTGGTAATATATAAATGGTGGGCCTTAGACCAATCAACTGTCTACTTAAATTTCATTGGCTGACTTATAAGTAAGTTTACATGTGTGTTTCACGATTATCCAATAAATATCGACTGAATTCAAGAGATATTCATACATAGCATGCAGGCTGTGTCCCTTTAATTCATAGTTTATCCAATGAACATGCTCTAATATAATTCGTGTTTTGATTTTCCATATTTTGATGATATTTCGCAAAAGGAGGGTGTAACCTTCCAGACGAAGTGAAATGTACATGGTCACTATGGAGTATATTGGAGTTCGATTTTGATCGAAAATGAATATCCGTAGAGAATAAGTTTTACACTGAACTGCTTTGATATACAACATCTTCAATTAATTTTGCTTTTAATTTATTCCCATTCCTGCTTAAATAGGAGACAAAAGCTCTTTTTACCACATCTGTTTAGAATTGATTCAAACCCAAAAATCATTTTTACATTAAAGAGTAATATTAATTCTGTTACTTCCTCATATTTTTGCACCTGAAATGATAAATTCTCACATCAGTATTACCTTCTGGCCATTTGAGCCATGGATTTCCTTTCGCCCTTCAGAGAACAATTCAATTATTATAATTGAAATCGTGTATCCTAATTTCCGTCAGGATTTTTCTTTTATTTTGCTTTATGCCCGCGCGAATTTATTACCTCCCTTGTTGTTGCAAAAAAACCCAACATGTTTTAGCCATAGGGTCTTCTTCCAGTAGTCGAAAAAGAAGAAGTTTGGTGGGAGTGGTGAAACTTTAATGGAAATATCTAAGTCTTAAAGTCTAAAGCAATACCTTATTTAACTCCAAGGGGCATTAACTCGTCCTCTTTTTTCATATGGTTGTTCCTTCTAATTTCCAAATCTTTCGAAGCACAGCTTACGTGAGGGAGTTAATTTCCGTGAAGGTATCTTAAACGTAGAAATAACCCCTCACTCGGCGTTTATCATAGCTACAGTTACTTGGATTGAAAGGTGAGGGAAGAGAAGATCTATGCTTCAAACGACGTTTTTCTCAACTAACTAAATTACTGATATAGGGGAATGGGGGGGGGGAGGGAGGGAGGAGGAGACAATGATTGGCTTCTTAGTTGGTCAATAATTGTAGCTCCGAATTACCCTTCAGATTGTTTCACTTATTCAGGTGTGAGCGTATGAATTGAATAATCGATAATCAGGAGCATGAGAGAGAGATTATTCATTTTGCATTGAGATAATTATAAAAACACTTAAACGGACATCTAAACCCCCTTTTTTCTTACTTGATATAGAGCTATTTCCCGCATTTTAGGTTTGAATTTAACCGTAAGTGTTCTGAGCTAGAATAGACTGTCATCTACCACTGGCTATTCGTTTCATAAAGAGAATAATCGTTGGCCTAGAGAACCAAGTCATCCGACTTGTTCCTAACCCAGTTCTCATTAACTGTTTTAATCTCCTCCCGTAAATTGCAATGGAAGTCAACATTCCAACTTGGAGAACCAGTTATGGCTTTGCGCATTAGCATTCAAAATTGCACATTAAATCTTATACTTAAAAGTCCTTATAGGCACTGTTTACAATACCACAAAATTCGAGTGCAACCAGCATTTGGCTTTACTTATAATCTCGAAATTGCGCTTTCATTTTGGTGAACTTACCCAATGATCATAAATTGATCATATCTAACTTATCTCTGTTGCTTCTATTATGTTGGCTGTCTTGGATGACGTAATCATTAATAAAACAGAACGCAAAAGCAGCGAATATCGAAAATACCGAAAGCTAAAACTCCATGTAAAGGACTTTGAACAATGCTTCGTTTAGGATGTATAGTCTCACTAACTCTAAAACTAAAGATTAATGACTCCATTTACCCCATATTTATTTCACAAATAGTTTCGGCTTTCATTAACCACGTTTTGTGTTCTTCGTTAGATCATTTCTACTGAAGCAAAATATAATTGGAGATCAATTATATTACGTACTGCTTACCACATTTAAGTATACGGGGCGCGATATAGTTTCTTCCTCGTGGGGCTCCCTGGGTAACGTAAACTCATACGGTAACAGTCTATAAACCGGCAATCGACTTCTGACTTCAAACTACCAGGATCCGACTGTGTGTCATATTTCACCACTTCCACAGTACTCATCTTACCATAACTTTTTCTCTTTCACATCTCTGAATCAATCTTCTGTTCCCCCCCCCCCCACCCCTCTCGACTTTTGTACCCTTGATGTTCCTTCCCTCTGTGAAGCTCGAAGTCAACTAAATGGCTAATGATAATTGTCATAAAGCCTGTCATTTGATTTAAACAAATAAATAAATATTGAGACGCGTTTTCTATTCAATTTCGGCCTCAGGTTTGAACCGACTGAAGGTCATAGTGAAGAGGGGGGAGGGGAGAGAAACGCTATGGTGGATATTGGATATCAAAGGATGTGCAAGAATTCATGTCAGATGAAAATCGTCTGAAAACAAAAAAATATCACCAATGAAAACACTCTTCATCGTTTGAACTGTCAGGTAAGCACTTTTACGTGAACTCCAAGACCTTGTATTATCTAACGGGCCACAATGATAAAAAATGCTTGGTTAATTTTTGAATTGGTTTTAGGGGATTTAACTCATTTCTGAGTAGACAAGGAAATTCCGACTTATTTTTACGAATAGAAACATCAACAGTTGTAACTAGTTTTAAAAAAAAACTGTTGATTTTGGCAGATGAATTAGGTAACTCACATTTAATAAGTCGATTATAGAAAGATGAAATTGGTTACAAGTACCCAGGCATAACATTTAAATACAAAGTATCGACTGATCGATTTTACCTAGACTCGAATCTTTTCACTAACATGGTCTCTCGAAAACGCTATCAAGTAAAAAATATTGATCAATTTACAAACATATTACTTATAAATGCAAGTAACAGAAATGCTTCACTTGAAATTTTATATTTTACTTAATACCCCAAATGTCCAATCTCAACAAACTTTGCCCACATATTTTATTTTAAAGATAGGCTTATTGACTAAATGGATAGATGAAATATCGCAAGATATCAAAATTGGAATGCGTTATTGCTAAAATAATTCAAATTCTCAGGCAACATAATTCAATACAAATTGGGATTTTTAGGACACAAGGATGAGTAGTGGCATACTCGTCACTATAATAGATGTACCAATTTTGGGATTAAATGGAGCCACACTGTTAGCAACTACTGTCTTTGTAATAATCAGGCATAATGAAGTAATTGAGTGTGTAGCGTGTTGCTACTTTATTAAGGCCTTACTAACTCAGAAATCTCTCTGGCAGATTCTCAAACATCTAGCTAGACTCCCAGAATCAGCTAAGCTATAGCCCAGCTATAAAGGAAACAGACGTGTAGCACGGAGCACGTTTATTCAGTGAGTATCTTGCGGATAAAGTGTACACATAGGGGGCCTAATCATGATCAGGATGGCTGATTAGGTTAAACAAACAGAGGTTAATGATTGATCACTCTTTGTACGGTCGCTACACAGAGTTGTACGGCCGCACCTCCCAATCCTGGCGAGCAGACACGCGGGCATACGATGACGCACGAAGCGATAACGTGTCCCACAAGTGTCAAAACATGGAGTGCTTCAATCACATCCATGAATTTTAAGGAGTAAACATTAAATGGAGAAATTGATCTGAATAAATTTGCTAATGTGTATTCTTTTATTATGCGATAATTAATGAATAATAGCGTATTAGGCATTTTAGTTGAATGTATGGAGTGCGATAGATTTACCTTCACGCGGTGCACCCTGGGCAATGTATAATCATACAGCAAAAAATCTATTAACCGGCAGTTGACTCCTGACTTCAAAGTACCATCACCCCTCTATATGCCACATTGGACTACTTCCACAGTACTCAACTCACCTTTTACTCTACCTTTGTGTCTGTCTCTTTTACATCTTTGAAGCACTCCACTGTTTCACCCCCCCCCTCTCGAATTTTTTCACTTCGATGTTCCTTCCCCTCTGTGAAGCCTGAAGGGCCAATGATAGCTATCAAAATGCCTTCCATTTGATATAAATAAATCAATAGTTGAATGTCATCTAAGGACAATTTAATTTTCTAATTGAAAATGTCCTTGTACTTGGCTTTAAATAGGCTCAACGGAATGGAGGTGGCTTGACCGACTTCAAAACGAGCCTTGACCAAACCTTAAAATTTCTCTCAGGTAAAACATTCCAATGTAAAATGCTCCCAAAATTAGCTGATCTCTCTCCCTCTCTCAATACTGTGTTGAGTAAACAGGATGTATGGTGCGAATATGCGTTTATTACGTGTAAGGCAAAACCCCAAAACATTTATTAATATCAAATGGCAGGCGTTTTGGTAGTTTTCATTAACCCTGGAGCTGACTTCGGGGCTTAACAGAGTGGAGAAGGCATATCATAATGAAAAAAGTCGAGAGGGGGAACAGAAGAGTAATTCACAGATGTAGAAGAGACAAATAGACACAAAGGTAGAGAAAAGATGATTTGAGTACTGTGGAAGAAGTCGTATATGACATACAATGGGGTCCTGATAGTTTGAAGTAAGAAGTCAACTGCTGATCAATAGACTTTTTTGCCGTATAAGTATACGTTGCCCAGGGTGCACCACGTAGAAGTAAGTCTATTGCGCACCCCTTAATCAATACATAAAATTAGACCTAAGCTAAGTTGACTGAGAGGTTGCTGGAATTACATCCACACTCACTTACTACATTATCAGCAGCACTAACACATTCCACAATATTCTTCCCTGAATGAGGTAACCTCGGTCTGGCTTGGCAATGTTTTGCGCATCGCACTATCAACTAGGTTAATGAGCTCTGAATAACGTGAGCATAATCTCATCTTCTAGTCTGAACATTGGTTTACTAAGTCAAAAAATAAGAATATCACAGCATAACCTCATTTCCTTATCAGTACATGAACAACTCAAATTCTGAATGTTCAAATAAAGCGAGACCAGTGTTGTTGTTTGAACTTCCGTAACCACCCATCAGCCACTCACTCTTCTTCGACCGCTCACCTATTCCCTACTTCGAAACCATCGCAAGACCAAAACTTAATAATTTACTTCACAACGTAATGAGCAGCCATAAGTACGGTTATCAATGATATCGGAATCTGTCCTTTATATTCTTGCATTTGGTCTTTAGCATTCTAAATGCTCATTCAAAATATTTCTAGTTTTTTTAAAAGCGGTAACTTTTGGTGAAATTTATTATTTCATTTCGTTTAATATGATAGAAAATGTGGATCGTTCTCCTAGGCTATAAAAAATGCCAAAATTTAAGACTAGATAATAAAGGTTGCACTTTGAAATTAGCCTTTATCAGACGAAATAATGTCGTGGCTGGCTGTTGAAAGTGTAGATTTTCGCCTAACAGAGTTATTATGAGAATGACTGCAAGTTGAAAATTATGAAATTAAGTTGCTTTAAAGATTTATATTTATTTCAAATGGCAGGCGCTGTGATAGCTGTCATTAGCCCTTTAGTTGACTTCGGCTTCACAGAGGTGAGGAACATCAAAGCGAGAAAAATTTGAGAGGAGGAACAGAAGAGTGATCCACAGATGTTAAAGAGACAGTCACAAAAGAAGAAAAAAGGTGAGGCGAGGAGAGTACTGTGGAAGTAGTGGAATATGACATGCAGTGGGGTGATGGTAGTTTGAAATCAGAAGTCAACTGCCGGTTAATAGACTTTTTTGCCGTATAAGTATACGTTGCCCATGGTGCACCACGTGGAGGTAAGTCTATCGCACACCCCTGATTATAAAAATTAATATAATAGTTACCACAGCTCTACTGAAAATCTCGTAGCCCAGCTTCGACGAAGAGAATTTCATCATTGATATCCTACGAAATGTCTTTCCAGGTCCCTTGTCCTCAAATCTCCTAGGTTTCATCATATTTTTAAGTATAACTATAAAGACAGCCTACACAAATTCGCAGCAACGGAAGAATAATTTCCAAGCCATGGATAAAAACTGTCAAAGGCGTTCATTTCTCTGCACTTACTTACATAAACCTCCATGTAGGAGGGAAACTTTGCCTAATATAGTGAGGTGTAAAGCTGTCAACCATATGCGAATATTTGACAAAAGGAAATTACGTCCCTGCTCTTAGTTTCAGCTTTACTACACTGCAGGTGCAACAATCCGAAGTAGTACTTGGGACAATTCTGACTAAAACAACCCAAATCCGTTATTCTTGCTGGTAGCGTCGTAATGTAAAATTATTCTACCTAAATTGAATTCATAGAAGCCCATCCCTAGAAAAGTTACAGAAACATTTAAAAACATCTCCTAAACTTTCAGAAGGTAATTATTAACAAAGAATTTATTAATATTGCAAGCATAATATTTATGACAACTCTGTTGTCAGATGCTTTTTGAGAGCTTATTTCAAACCAACATTTTACTGTGCTTTTGACTGTAAGGCAGACATTGGATAATCTGTGATGGTGAAAATTGGTTTATTTATAAATATTTCAAGTGTATGAAATTAAATACCACTAGAAAAGGCGAAAACCAAAATATAAGTATGCTGTTTTTAAAAATGAGTAAGAAGTGGAATAATTTAGAATCTTTATTAAAAAGCCTAAAACAGCTAGTTTCCCAGAACTAGCTAAGTTACAGCACAACTATGAAGGAAACAAACGTATCGCACGGAACACGTTCATTCAGGAAGTGTACACGCTGCAAGGTTATTCATAATCAAAATGGTGGATCCACTTAAACAAACAACGGCTTCTGATTGGCCATTGGTTGTGTGTGTGCATACGATTACGTGTTAGGCGATGACCTGTCCCACGATCACTCCAATAGTATAAAAATCGATGGTGCCAGAAAATGCTTCTGTTTTAAGGGTCATCTAGAAACGGGCGAAAAGGGTGAATTTATTATGGATGACGAAGAAGACCTTAAGATATAAATTCAAGAATCAGGATCCTTGTTTACAACGGACCAAATATTTTAGAATTTTGAATTTAAGATGAGTACTAATAAAGGTCGGGCAACTGGAGATTTGGTCAACTAAGTTGTGGATTTTCTTTGCTGCCATAGATCTCAACGAGTCGACTTCAATTTGCTTTTTCTGCTTATCCACCAACTACCTTGGCTCTGCTTTGTTAATCCTCACGAACGAAGTCATTGTTGACGTCGTTAAGACTTGTTCATCATTAAATTTTATTTCGGAGTGATTTCATACTGACATATTCTGAGCACTGGAAGCTGTAAGTACAATGATTTCTAATGAACCTTCTAGCTGACCTCAAAATCGTATTGGTTCTTAGTGAAAGCAATTCACACTACAAGGTTCATTACGTGAACCTTGATCCAGTGAAGTCATTTCACAAAGGTGACTTAACTGTGCTCATTTCCAGACAAGTTCTCTGAGCGATACAACATCTTTCCTGTAACACCAAGGCTACCATCATGTCGAGACCATCATTGGGCGCCTCGTCTGTGACCGGTGGCAGACGAAGGAGTACCTTGAGCTTCATACGACGGTTCAGCCGACATTTTAGCCAATCTAGTGCCCCAGTAATTCCCATTCTTGGAGAAGTTTTTGATGATGACGGAGGCGTGAAAAACCTTGAGACTGGAGATGATGCCTTCTTTGATTTTAAGGCAGATATAAGAGATATTGATGTGATGAAATTAATTGAGACGATTCGAGAAGATGATGTAGATAAATTTTCGACATTTGATTACAAGCTTATTGAGGAAATTTCAATGAATGTGAAACTAACTGACTTGCCGGTAAGTAAAACTTGTGACATTTACTAATTTAATTAGAAATTTGTCTGAATGTAAGTATTTCGAGGTGAATTTCCTAGTTTATTGATATATAAGATTTATAAATAAGATTTTGTGCCTCTGTTAAAGTTGTGGAGTATGCACCTCAGTAATTCAAAGGCGTCAAGACTGGAGCAGTTACTCTCATTCATTGGATTTTCATTGTTTGCCAAGTAGACAAATTTTCTATGATTCGGAAGTAATTATGAACCATGCAGGCACAACCTGTCGTTGCTCTAATCGTTAAATTACCTCGAAGTTGTGTGAATAGGAGTACCACAGGTGAAAAGGAATATTTCGCTTATGTTGAATTAGTTTGGGTTTATGCAGGAAGAAAGGGAGGTAGAGGAAGGCTTCTTTTCTCAATATTGGGACGATCTCACAGCTGCCCGTACCGATTGTCTACACACGGCGTATTCTGGTTACCATCTTTAACCAACACTAACTTCCACCAATATGACAAAACATGATCCTTCAATATTTTGAATCATTTCTCCCAAAAAAGAAACTTGAAGTGGCATTTTATCTAGAGGAGCCCTGCTAGCCCAATATAAGTTTCTCTGTCAGTTCTAATAGTTTGAGGTATTGTTTGATGTTTAGTATCCTTTGCCTTCTCAACCCTCATTAATAGTAATCAATAGGTGAAATTTTTAAATGAGTAACAGATGACTGAGTAATAGGTGCATCTTGAATAATCNTTAGTTGTATAAATATAAATATATATTTATATTTATATATGTGTGTGTATATATTTTTTGTGAAGTGTTTTTCTTCAATAGGAAAGTGTGACACCAGTTCACATCTGTGCAGCTCTGGGAGATTATGTGGGACTTCGAAAGCTACTTGACGCAGAATTTCCACACCTTACTCAAGACCAGGTACGATATCGAAATTCAAATGAGCTTACTCACTTACTAACTACAATACTTGATCGTGTTCCATTCTCCTAGAAAGGTGTTTGAAATGGAACTGTACTGTAATACTTGGCCAAAGGGTATTTCATGCTCTAAATTGAGATGCTCAGTTGATAATGTTGAGAGATTAAATTCATTCCCAGTGTGGATATTAACTCGGGACACCACCAAGAGCAAGCAGCATTGAGATTGCTCAACATACTCATCCGACGATGTGCACCTTCGATAATTAATGTTTCTTTTATTGAGTAGTGTTTAAGAGGGCTCCTCATTCAACACGAAGGAATAATACCGTACATATGATATTTATTCACCCAGTTTCTGATCACTTGGCAATCTGCCTTTGGGGGGGTGGGAGGGGGATGACGAATTCTCCTTGAATTCAAATTTGCCAAGTTTGTCTATCTGGTCAATTATAAACAGAGGTATAATTGAGTAAAGATGCTTCTTCCACTGTGTATAGGTAGTTGCTAATATGGTACTATATTCATGCCAAATTCAGTAAAAGACAGACGTCATTTCTACAATATTGAAACATCAAAGTGAAGTGACAAAGGCCCACTCCATTTTTCGTAAAACAAATCAATACAAATTGCTATTGAGGGTCTATGTAAGTCGATATTCGAAGGCATTGAGACCCAGAATCAACTTGCTTCAGAGTTCCATCGTTAATGTTAGTGTTGTGATGAGAAAAGGGAACCAAATAACCACCCATCCGATTAAGCGCCCTTGATGAGAAACAGATGCTTCAAATTTTTTAATTCCCAGCTTACTACTAAAAATGAACCCGATTTCGAACGAATTTGACAACTTCTGACACCATACTTTGTTCTCTTATTGTAGCTCGGACGTCTACCCCTTCACTATGCTGTTCAAACTAATCTTCCGACAGTGATAATGCTACTAGCCATAGATACTGGTCAACTGGATGTAGTGGATTTTGTAAGTCGGGGAAAGTTACTTGCAATTCAATGTCTCTGTCATTATCAATGTTGATACAATCCTGTGTAAAAGACACAACGAGCAATCATGTTTCATCCAATTCTGGTGAACTTTGGGCAACTCCACTAGATATATGCAGTGCAGACGGTTTAAGTCTTTCAAAAACCTGGAATATTAAAGTAGAAGATAGTGTATTAATGGAATTAGGTTTCGAACTTCGTATTATAAATTAACCACGAGAGTATATTTTCATGTGGGGTGAATAAAAGATTGTGTAATGACGATTTGGTAATGGATAAGCGGAAAATACTAGATCAAACAAGCCTAACTGGTTGTCATTATGCTCTCAAATCATGAATGACACACACACACACACAGGCACTCACTTGAGTCTTTACAGCGAAACGTCTGATGATGAAAATGGAAAAAGTAAATGGGAACCTGGAGAAAACAGAGTCACAAAAAGTAGAGGACATTGGGGTAGGCGAAAAAGGTCTGGCATGGACACACAAGAACTTGAAGTTATTTTCAACCCTTTAAGATAGACATCTGGGGCCATGATTAGGTAGCAATTTGGATCAAATGGCAAAGGTTGTTCACTTCGAAATTGGTTTAAATGTATTCTTTTCATTTTTAGGCAAATAGAAAGCCTCTGATGTTTTGCCAATATCATAATCACGAAACTGTCAGAGGGTACCTGAATAAACTTGTTGAATCAGTCAATAATCAGCAACTTGGTGACGCTCTTGAAAGTGAGAAGAAAAACTATTTGCATGTAAGTTCTTCATAAATGTTTCCCTTGGTTAATATTTGGTCAATGTTGACCTATCGATGAGGGGTGGATTTAAGTTCATTCATCAGACAAATAAGCTAAATTTGGTCATAAACCAAGGCAGATTAAATGAACTTAATGATTAGTGACTGAACTGAGGCAGAGTTCTTTTCAATTAACTGTCTTCAATATCTTGGAACCGACATAATGACACCTGGGATTGGAAGGGGAAGATTAAAATGGCACTTTGGTTCACAGTATGCAGTTCTTAAGCTCTCTCAATGCAATTCTCGAAATGATTAGCTGCAATTCTTGAGTAAAGACCACTGGAAGGTCATTTGCGAGTCACGAATTTCAGTCAAGTTGAATGACATCAGATGACCGCCCTTAATGACTAGACGAATGAGGTCTTCATGGTCAATCTTTTAACAAAACCAGCCAATGTGATGAACCAATCTATATAACTTTCCTCCGACTTCGTGTTTATACTAATTTGTTTACCCGGGCTTCATAGAGAACGTCCAAAAATCATATTTTTATTGCTTTAATTAATTGAACAATGATTACGCCTACTTTTCATTCTCACAGAATGCGATAGTACGCGATGCTCACTGGAAGTTACCCCTGAACTTTGAGGCCTACCTGTGCACTAAAATAAGGCCAATGTACTGGTAAGTTAACGAGCACACACACACACTCACACCGCACACAAGAAATTAGGAAGTTGGTTTATTATACTTCACTTTTTCGAGATGTTCGGTTGCCCCCTTATAAGGCCACAAACTGAGCCCTCATGAAGAAGAAATAATGGAAGGGATAAGTCTGGTGCTTGAAAGAAATAATTGGCGTTCTGTAGAATTTGAATACTGGGTAAATTACTGCCCTTCCGTGTGGCCAAGAATGGTATCGATGTTAACTTCATTGGCAATTTTGCATGTTTAATTGCAAGCTTAAAAATCCAATAATCGATAATTTAGTGCAATGGGGAAGAAGCTTGGGGCTTCTCTCGAGGGCGCCGAAGATATCCAATTTGGCTTCCTCGCAAAATTGAATTCGGAAGAGTGGAAACTTGAATGTCCAAGTGTCTTTTTCTTAAATGATTTCGACAAGGAGTAACCAACGTCGAGAAATGAGTGAATTTGTGGAAGCCCAAATGGTCCAGTGAAGTTAAACTCACAAGTCTGAGAATTTAGTGATCGATTTTAGAATGTTGAGGAGTCTATTTTCCTGGTGGGAGATGAATGACAATTTATTATTATTATTATTATTATTTCAAATTGCAGGCTTTATGATATTTATCATTAGCCCTTAAACTTTGACTTCAGCTTCCCCCATGGGTGGAGGGTACATATAAAGCTGTTAATTAATAGCAGTTCATTAGCTGTCTTCTTGCTTCCCAGCCTCTCTGGGGTTCCGTCGTTGTCTTTAGGGTTGGACACTAAATCAGATGGGTCTTCTCCATTTCCTCCTGGATGCGAATCAGATGGGTCTTCTCCATTTCCTCCTGGATGCTACATAGAGGGCATGTGGGTTGAGTGTATACTCCTAATCTGTGAAGTTGCTTCGCCAGGCAATCTTGTGCTGTCAAGAGGTGCAAATGACGTGTTTATTCCAGGAGTGAATAGAGAGATAGGTAGAGAGATAGATCTAGGACTGATTCCACGAGATAGTCAAAAGAAACTGCCATAGGAGTAATTTTCTTCAGTCTTAACAGACGCGAATACTGCGAGTGTTCAGGAGATTGTGAACTGCACGAGAAGTTCTGTGAAATCGAGGCTCTTAATGAACTTATAGCAAGCCGAACCAAGGACTATATCAAACGTCCAACTAACACTTTTGGACAGTTTGAAACACCCTCTTCAAATGTCATGGCTGAGGTTAGTTTAGTCAATAACGTTGGTCTATATTAGTTGTCATTTTCTTACCTGCTCATGTCATTGGTTTTAGTTCGTCCGAATAGCTGATGACACTAGAACGGAAAAGCTCTCTTTCCTTTTCTTCGACGTTTGGAAGTTGAGGCAGCCTGATCTTGCTCTTTCGCTCTATGGTTCAATTCCACCTTCGAAGTCACTTCAAAAGCGATTCTACAAAATGATCATATCTGTTGTTCAAAAGACAGGTACGTTTAAATATTATAATGATCCGAGGCTGTCATTCGATTCACAACACTTTTCGTTGTAGTAACTTGGGTGATAACAGACGGAATTTTCGATAGTATTGCTGAAGTGATGTCAGACGGAATGCATGGTTATGCAGAGGCCTATGGACTTACGAAGCTTCAAGTCATTGGTATAGCTCCTTGGAGGCACCTGGCGCTTCAATCCGAACTCCACTCTTCCGATTATTCGGTAGGTCACAGAAGAATTTGATGTCATCTGCATACACGGGTGCATGGCTGACAAAATGAATAGCTGGTCTTTCTTGGAGTTTATCTTCATTTATATTCTCTCTTGGCATTCACTTGCTTGTCGTTTTGTGTGTATAGACTCACCTTGCCTGTTCATGATTAGTGAGTAACTTATTTATTATCGGTTTTACGTTCTATACTTTGTGTTTGCAATGTAAGTCTAAAGTAAATGAAAGTAGAAGAATTAGTTAACTCTTGGGAATTGGTCTTGTGGTATTCAGTAGTTCAGAGTCTAGACATGGGATAAACTGGCTTTTTGACACGTTGATCAATTTGACAGAATAAAGTCATGGTGCTTCAAGGTATTTGCGCTCGAACCATCTGCCCACAATTACAATTTTGGTCAGTCGGTAATAACCGGCTTACTTGCTGATCATTAATTAACGTGTCTCTGTGAGTAATGTGAATAATGAGATGAGTCAATTGGTCTAGACGATCATAGCTTTTCTTCGCATTTTATAAATGCTTCTTACTTGCCCTTTGCAGGGAACCTATCGAGTCAGGTTCCCAGAGAGGGAGAAGATAGTGACAATTTACCCACAGATAGCACCATTTCACACACGGTACCTCTTCGTCGATTCTGGTGGTAAAAATGACACCAAGTGTACTCAAGATTTCCGTACACGGTTTGAAATCTGGCTTGCCAATCTCAATATAGAGGTGGAGTCGTTTGAGCTCTCGCGTAAGTATACAATATTTAATAACGAGGCTGACATACCTTTCCCACGTTCCTAATTTCGCTCTTATACTTATTCCATAGACAATGTTCCGATTTGTGGAATTCTTGTGGCGGGAAGGCCGGAGCATGCATTGAGTGTTCATCGGGCTCTAAGTAACAGTATCCCATTCGTTGTTATTGGGGTAAGATTGTGATTGAGTAATTTTGAAAGTATTTGTGCTGATGAAATTTTATACCGGTATTACTTGCCCCAGACAATAATGTTTGATACTGGATTCAACATGATATCAGGACGCCTAACATGCCGTTTTGACGTCCTGTCTCATTCAAGAGAGTAGTTATGGTATATTATTAGTTAGGAGGAGATAAAGTTGAAGACTGGTACTTTAATCGCCTACTTAACCACCAGAGTAGAATGAGAATGTTTTCAATAACCCGTCAGTTTATTTAATGTTGCTATAAGTGTGTCAGTGGCACATTGGTAATCTCGCTCTCCTGGCCTTGGGAGATCAGGGTTCGCAAAGGAAATCCCCTTGTGTGCATCAAATTGCGTTGTTTCAGTTTGGAAGAATTAGAGTTCGTCACCGAGAAGGCTCCATGACACTAGAGACTAGATGAGTGCACGAAAACGTGCTCCTTAAGGGGCTTGAGAAGTATAATGTCACCAGGTGGAGGAATGATAGAATCTCTCAATTGGTCTGTAGCGTTCTCATCTTTCTCCTTTGTGAGCACCTGCAAACCCTTTGTCGTAATAGGACAGAGATTTGCTTACATAATACTAAAGACTCTTCCAACCAACGACCTATCAATCTAAAGTAGGTGCTAAAGGCTATACGAGCCACGCGTGTCAACTATATCTACAGTTAAATCATCATCTGTTCAAGATTGAAGGCCACGTAGGTGAGGAAGAGACACTGGGTGTTCCAATTAAAGAAATGCGTATAGATTGGTGCATTGAAAGGCAAAGTAAACTACCGAGTGGGCACATCAGTCAAATACATTTCTGTGGACAAAGTGGGTATTGACTAGGCTACAATAAACCTCTATATGGATTGAGTATACATG